TTTGCTTCATTATTGAATTGGTTCAGCATTCAAAGAAGCCGCCATCTTCCAGCATCTGGACAAATGCTTAAAGTCAAAGCCGATGAATTCGCTAAGCTAATTGGTGAGACTACTTTTATGTGCTCGAATGGCTGGTTAGACAGGTTTAAAAAGCGGAATAACATAAATTCAGGAAAAATTATTGGAGAAGCGGGAAAAATACTTCCATATCTGAAGTTGAGGATTGCTCATCAGCTAAACATTAATATTTTTTTGCATGCAAGACGAAGAGCAATTAAAAATATAAGTTAACACATTTTTTGTTACTACGTATTATGTTTCAGTCCTTTTTGTATTTCATTTTATTGATCATTGATTGAAATAATGTGTAATAAAAGGGGTGAGTTAGGAACTATTAGTTAAAATTGGTTGCGAAACGGATATAGTGAAGTTCCGGCTATAGTGAACCAAAATTTCGGTCCCCTGAATGTTCACTATAGCGGTGTTTGACTTTATTTACTTTTTTTATTCCCATTGCATTAATAATAAAAAAGTAAAATAGTATTATTTTAATATGCTTTCTGCCTCGCAGCATTCATATTGTAAAAAACAGGCTATTCTGAAGTTCAGTTTCAATACTTTTTTTTAATTTTGTAAATAACATTTTGTCATTAAAACTAAATTTATAAATTAAGTTGTAAAATAAGATTTCCTTATACATTTTGAGTCAATTAGATTTTATGCAAATTTTTTTAAAAATACTTACTGAATACGAAAATATAACTTTGTGACGAGTTAAACACGTCTTTGCACTTGCATTATTTGTTTCAATCTATAAAACCCAGGGTGCTATAGAAAACAGGGTGCCTAGCCAAATCTTTCAACAAAAAATAAGCATCTTTTAAGTACTTTTTAAGCACTCAAAAATATTTTTAAGCACTATATACATTAACAAAATGCAAAATAATTTTCAAAGACTTTACATCATCAGGATAAAATAACTCGTTTCTGGCAAAAAAAAATTTTTTCTTAAATATATTAGCTAACATAAAAAGATCGAAAGATTTTTCAGTTGGATTTCAGAGGGTGGAAAATGAAGCCTGAATTTGAGATTATCTTGCAAAATGCAACAGAGTTGCACAAAGAGTGCTAGAATCTCACCGAACCCAACTCAATAGGCGCACATGAGGACTCGCAAATATTTCATCAAACATGTAAAATGATTGGACCGACGCTACATACAGTACAGATCGACGGTAAGCCGAAATGGATTGTGGTTGAATGAATTGTGAAAACGTTGAATAGAACATTGTGAAAACCACGCTTTTGCATAATACGTGGCGAAAATCGACATGGTAGAGAAAAAAATCTAATTTTCGAAAAGGGAATATTAAGCACTTTTTAAAAACCTCAAATGAAAAAAAGCAACTATAAGGGCTTTTAAAAGACGAAAATCGAAAATAAGCACCTTTAAGTACTTTTTAAAAACGCTACGCACCATGGAAAATTGTAAGTTAAGTTTCATTTCATACTGTATAAATAAAATTTATCGGAGTTAATTTAGAATGCTTTCAATTGCAAATTAATACCGGTGGCATGACATGGTTTCTGTGTAAACAAATTGATAATATTTACAAGGTCGCTATTACAAAAAATTCAAAACAGAAAATTATAATAAGTAGCTTAATAAGTAGCTTAAAATTTTGGGAATGTTTATGTTAGACATTTGGTGCTTTCAATTAAATTTTTCAAAGAGAAAAAAAAATTTCATTAATAAAAATTCTAAACAAAATTAATTTTCATATACTACTAAGGTTTGTGTCAACTGTGTTTTACTATATATAACAGAGAAAAATAAAAGAAACATGACTGACATAATTTTTATTAAAAAAAAAAGAAAAAAGAAAAAAAAAGCACACACACACATACAATGTACTAAAACTCACTCAACTGTTCATAGAGATATGAAAATTTTTAACATCTAACTATAGGTAACCTTCATTCAGATCTTTTTTCAGTATGCACAGTGCGCAAAAAAAATACAAAAGGACTACCCTCAATAACTTTTGATCTAATTATCGGATCTTCGCGTTCTGGGACTCACTCGTAACGGTTCAAGAGGATGACCTAAAATATACTAATTAATTAGTACAGACGATATTTTTAATTAACGAAATCAGACAACAAAAAAAAACGTACTTCTCTGAATAAACATATGTTATCTTCGACGAAGGCGGATTTCTAATCCCCAAAATAAAGGCCGAATCTGGGAAATATGGTTCTCATAGTTTGATCAGGAGAGCGGACCAAAATTTGGACCCCTTAATGTTAATTTTACTTTTTGCGGTTTTCGCCATATCTCGAGAAATTTTAAGCGAATCGAAAAAATTTTGCACACAATTATAAATTTTGTTAATCCGAAGATTATTGTTTCACGCAAAAAATAAATTTTAGTCAGTATTTATTATTTTTCATTTTTTTATTTTATAGTAGTTGAAAAACATTTGAATTGTAAGATATACATTTTTCTATATCATTTGAAGGAATGTAATTTTAAATGACAAAACACAAAATTTCAGCGAAATCGGTCGAATAGTTTCTGAGAATTTGTATCGTGAATAAAATTTAGCAAAGGTTGTATTTTTAAACTTCGATTTCTCAGGAACTATTCATCCGATTTTGCTGAAATTTTGCCGTTTGCCATGTAAAAATGCTATCTTTAATATCATTTAAAGCATTGCATACATTACATTTCAAACAATTTTCGACCAGCATTAAATGTAATTAAAAATGAATATTCACAAACTTTTTTTTTTTTTTGCGTGGAATTATCTGTAGCTAAACAAATTTTATAATTTCGTGTATAAATTTTCCAATTCGTCTAAAAATATTTCAATATATGGCGAAATACACAAAAAGTAAAAGTAACATTAAGGGGTCCAAATTTTAGACTGCACTCTGACCAAACTATATGGACCATATTTCCCAGATTGCTGCTACCTTCTATATATTAGGGGTCAAAAAATCCGAATCAGTCTTAAAAAAGGGTATGTGTATTTAGCAAAAGTACGTTTTTGTGTCTGATTTCGTAACTTAAAATATCGTGTGCACTTATTAGTTAGTATATTTGAAATCACCCCTTCAAACCATTAAGATTGTGCCCTAGAACGTGTAGATCTGACTATTTGATCAATAGTTATTGAGTGTACTCCGTTTTTTACTTTGCGCACTGTACCTTACAAAGCAGTCAGACAAATGTTGATTAGTAGCTTATGTAAATGTTCCGGTACAACATTTCCATGGAAAGCTTGCTCAAATACTTTCACGATAGCTCATTGGGATTATAATCTAGAGGGAAAAAAACACAATTTTTATTAATGCAGTCAAGTGCTATAAATGCAACAAAAGTTGTTCTAATGTTCGTAAATGTAACAGTAATACAGAATACACTTAATTACAAAATGTAATTTATTTTATAAAATTAAGCAATCGATACACTATTTATTGTACATTTCCTTATGTTGCAGTTACTGCTTATTCGGCTTCAAAAAAAAAACAAGCCTTAAAAAAAAGAAAGAAAAAAAACTCTTTTTTAGTTAGCTAGAGAGGAAGAAAAATGAAATGCTAAAGTGAATTGTGCTTTTGGTCTGACAAACCACAAGGCAGGATTTTATTTCCAAAAAGAAAGTGATTTGACTGCCACGTGAGCAATCTGATTTTCAACGACAGTTTCATTAGGTATGGTGAAAAATAAAACAATTAAAACTAATTCATTAAATAATTAGCGAGTTTTAGTCAGCGATAATAACAGTTAAAAAAAAGTAATAGCAACATCAAGATACACGTGAACATTTATTCATTCAACAATTTCTGCCATGTTTAATTATGGGAAAACATTTAACATTCAAAAGCAATGAAAAAAAAGCCACACCAGATTAAGAAAACAATTCTGCGCGACACTCCAATCAAAAAAATTGACTTAATTGATTGATAAACATGTCGGAAAATCTCAACCAGCCCATATATTCCAATTTGACCAGAAACTTTAAACCTTAGTAACTTTTTTAATAATTCCAAAAATATTAAAAATTGTCCTTTTTTCAAAACTTTCGAACTAGTCCTTGTCCTCTTTTCAAAAAAAAAAAAAAAAAAAAAAAAAAAAAAAAAAAAAAATCATTTAACCTTTTTTTTCAAATACAATTTTAAAGTAATATAAAATCATCATATTTCAAAATAAGAGTACGTCAGAATTTTTTTTCATTTAAAGATATGAAATATATAACAAAAATATGGGATATCGTTACGGCTTATTAAGTGATATTATGAGAGTCCGATTTGGATGAGACAATTCTTGAATGTGTTATCTTGTTGAAATGTGTTAAAAGTTACCGACTGCGACTGAAGAAGAGACAGATGAGCACACTAAGTATCCTTAAATTTATTCCGTAATTTTAAAATATTTGATTCAAACGCATCAAATAGTGCGTAAAGAAAAGAACAATGAAATTCAGAAAATGGGGTATGAAATTTTATTTTAATTAAACAGACTTCTTTAACTTTTCTCAACAATCTTATCAGGGATTCAATTTTGATGGTGACAAAAATCATTAAAGCTTATTTCTACAAAACCACACTTTCATTCAAGTCATTGAAACAAAGAAATGTGAAAGAAGAATTCACTCTTAATATTTAATTACTTTCCTCGAAAAAGAAAATTTTTTTTATCCTAAGATACATTCATAGACACCATTTCCTTGTTAGAAGACGAAAAAGTTCAAAGCGTGTTTCTTTTTCCTGAGAAAGTCTGTATTTGTTCATCTTTTCGTTCGTTCCGTCCGTACAGTTTCAAATTTGTTGAGAATGGTGACGTACTTCCTTCTACGTAATTCCGTTCCCAGTGGAATGAAAACGATGCGCTTTTTTCTTGTTTTGTTTATTTTAATTAAATCAAGACAAATCGAGGTGGAAAAAAAAAGCTTTGAGGTAATCTTTTGAATGTGGACGCGGTCAGTTAGAATCATGGGAGATATTGAAGAAACATGTCAACACGCTGTTGAGCGCATGAAGAGTTTTCTACATAGAATCGCATTAGATAATGTTCTGCTTAATAGTTTAGAAAAAAAAAATGAAATGAAAGACAGACGTGGGATAAAGCTAGAAAGCTTAAATTTAAAATGAAAACGATTCTTGAAGAATTAATGGTCACTAAACTAGAAATGGATAACTCAACCATGACTATAAACACTTTAGAAGAAAACTTAAAAATTATAGAAGAAAATTTTTTAACTTTTTTTAAATAACTGTTAAGTTATTGAAAAATGCATTTATTATGTTTCCTTGAAATTTCCCATGATTTTTCGGGAGTTTTATCCTCGTCAAATGCTAGCGCTACTGCGTCCCAACTCCCAGAAGAGATAAGTAGAGGGGATAGTGGTCAATAAAGGTATGTTAACATTTTACTTAAATTTTATTATTTCGTTTAAAATTCCCATATCTATAGTTAGTTTATAACTTATTTTAAGAAGTTACTTTAACTTTCATTTATTATAATGGGTCACCGACGCCTTTCTGAACCTTTTTCAGATCAGAAAAACTATCAATCAAAATCAATGTATCAAAAATGTGCATAGAAATAAAATATGGCGACATAGTCTCAGGGCCGCTGACTAGACTCTGTAGGGGTCAGGGAACTGGTATTGTATCAGAAAGGTTCTGGGTTCGAATCCCGGGCAAAGGCACGGATGTTGTTTCATTCTTTGTACTATCTGTCCCCTTACTGTGGGAGCAACGCTGGTCCAACTCGGATATGGCGCCTTTTCGCTAAGAGAAGTGTATGAGCCCTTTTTAAAGTTTCGTAACGGATTTACGAATTTATCTTTTTTTCTTGACGATTAAATTTTAACTTTAAGCCAGCTATCTCATATTATGAATGCTAATACAATATCTTTTAATGCAGTGCAAGAAGAAACATGATTCATTCAAATAGCTTAAAATTAAATATAAATGTTTTTTATTATTTAAAAAATAATTTTGCCTTCATCTAATATTTTTAAATTCAGTTTTAATAATTAAATTAGAATTTATTTTAAAGAAACAATAAACATATCCTATATGTCAGTTTGCTTTAACTATGCAGCTGCTGTTATAACACGAATGTAAAAAATCTAAAATTGGAATTTTCGGTCAAAAATTAGTTTACTATTTCCGTAATTTAAAAAAAAAAATTATACTTTTCAGTTGGAAAATGAGTTTCAAGAAATTAATAATATCAGTTTATTCTATTTTTGTTTAATGCAACACTAAATTATTATATTACAAAATAAATACAATAGTGCTTTGATTATTTATTCGCTATCGCAACGAACTATAGGGGGCGTTGTTGTATGGGACGAATACCTACGATTTCTATATGACTGTCATTCAGTTACTCTGGAGACGTCTTTAATGTAGCGCGTAGCATTGTAACGTTCCTTCTTTATTGTGGCTCATTAAATTTAAAAAAGAAAAATGTTTGATATTCTTTCGTATGCAAACGAAAACAAAATGGTATCTCTTTTTCTTTTTTTTAGAGAAGGAACATCCAAAACACATCGGAAAAATATTTGTAAATAAACAGAAAAAATATGTATCTTCTTATTGGAGCTAAAACCTAATGCCTGAAATAGTTTTACTAAATTTAATGATATAACATGAAGGGCCTATTTAAACTTTACATTCCATAGTTTTAAGAAACATATTACTTCAAACATTAAAATAAGCAAAAAATATACATAAGCCTCATAATTTTACATAATTTAATTTTGTAAAAAAAGTATTTTGACAACAATTTTTATCAAAAAACTGTAAGTTTCAATAAAAATCATTATTTAGAAACTAAAAAACGNAAAAAAAAAAAAAAAAAAAAAAAAAAAAAAAAAAAAAAAAAAAAAATAGAAAAAGAAGGGAAAAAAAACGGTTCTAAAAATTCCTCACATTAAAATGAAAAATTTAATTTTTTCTTATACATAATCGGACGCAGAAAATCATTCTACAGAAAATTATCATCAAATAAGAAAAAAAATTATTTACAAGTAAACTTTTTTATTTTATAAATTATAACACTTACCTGCTTTATAAATCCGGAGAATTCCAAATGAAATGTTCTTCGTTTGAAAATTTTATTATTAATAATACATACATAGATTATCCCTTCATTACTTTTAGATAACATATCACGCAGCAAAATTTTATAATGGTAAGATCTCGATATGAATTTTAATACGTAGCTTAAAAACAGAATAGCTGAATTCTAGTTGAAATTATTCTTTCAAAACTAAAATATACTTACCAAGAAAACGATAAATATTTATTAATAATCAGCACAAATGATACTATTGCAATTCGGATGATTCTTTATTGTTGTTTTCCGAATTATATAGATACAGAAATATTTATTATTCTATATAACTATTACAGTTCTGTATGTTCTGAATTCACATTTATTCATTGGAATGAAGAAAGCAATGTTGGCTTCACTTTAATTTATAATGAATTGAAGACAGACAAAATCCCCAAATCGGAAGTTATCAGTTTGTTGATAGTAGAAGTTAAACATTTTGAGCAATTTTTCTTCAAATGTCTGGCGTGTTTCTGAATGATTTACCAATGCTCTGGAGAGTTTTTTCAAGTTCTTCGGCCTTTTCCTTAGGGAAATTTTGTTTCTTATTTGCTGCTTAGAAAATGGCGTCTGACTTTGCCAATGATTCTGATGGAACTAAATGATAACTTAATAAATTAATGCCTGATATTCTCAGGCTCCCGCTAGAGGGCGTGCTCAAGTGTTGCGATCACGAATTATATTGCTTTATAGGTATTTCGCCGCTTCTCTTACCAATTTTTTGGAAAGCAAAAAAAAATTCAAAAAAATCAGCATTTTTTTAAAAATTTTATTAATAAATACAAGGAACAAAAGCAAAACGTAATACACAAGTTTTAAGGTGAAATGTTAATTTTTTTAATGTGCAAAAAAAAATTTTATTTAACATTTGTTTACAATCTCGAGCAAATGAATGAAGGTGGTATGAAGGTGATGGCATGTCTTCGGATCATCCTCAGAGATGTTTCCCAGACCGTCGCCAATAGCTGATTGTGCAGCTCTAGTTCGACGTAAATGAACAACAACAACATCAAACTCACCAGAATTGCTTAATAACATTATTATCTTATGAAATACGGCAGATTTGAGCTCAGAAATTATCTAATTTACTTCTTTTATTGAAAACAAAATTTTGAAAGTATCGCCTCACAGAGTAAGCAATTGCAAACTTTCTAACCGGAACTAGAGCAGGTATTCAGCTCGAGATTGTTATTGTTTACATTTATATTGAAAACACCATCCATAGCACCATTTGTGCTAAGCTTTATATGACATTGTTTTTACGCCAGTAGTAAGATAAACCAAAATATTATGGTAAGCCTGAAAAATGTATTTCGTTGCCACCGGAAAATAGACACTTCATTTCCTGTTGCGGGTTCTTACAATCTACGTCTTTACTTCCAGTTTCCCAATATTGATGTTTATCTTCAAACTTCCATTCAGAGTCTTGCCATTTATCCTCAAGACATGTTCATTAAAACTATTTGGTTTGCCTAACATTTGTAAGTTATTTTTAAAAGAATCTTTTGCTTCTTTTTAGGCGTAAGTTTTGCAAAATATTTTTCGTATTATGCATGTTTTAAAAGCATATTTGTGCGGAGAAGCTTTTAAATTTATGTTATTTGGCGCATTTTTAATTACCTTCTTTGACATTGTATTAATAACAATAATCAAAGGAAACTTATCTTAAAATAAGGTCACAAAACAATGAATGTGGATGATGTTAAACTTTTTTGTGCAATCCTGCTATAATAATGCTTGTAATTTAGTTGAGAGTTTCTTTAAAAAAAAGTTAGATACAATTTCTGCAAGGCAAGAACTATTTTCATAACTAGATCTTTATTATTTTATTTTACCATAACCTTCTCTTCGTATATATTTTTTTATGTAGTTTAATAACTTGTCCCTTGTGTCTAGCATAAAATTCTTATCCCTTAATAACCTGACATGGCTAAAATAGTCTGAGTATGCAATTTAATTGTGTTGGTAGCCATTGAGGGTTGACTTAATTTAGTGTTAATATTATCAGAGTCAAATGAGCATACACTATTCCTAGATTTTTAAATTCTAAACGTGAGCTCATTTAGTTTTACTCAAATCTCTTGTCATTATTAAATTAAATCTGAAACAATTTTATATCATTGATGTAATTATTTCTGTAATTGAACCAATGTAATCTCATCTATGTTTCCAACAATATCAAAATTAGCATTTGTGAGGAAATTTTTCTAAATTATCTTATCACATTTTTATTTTGCTTGAAAAATGAATACTTGTAAGAAAAGATGAGAAATGAGATTTTTTAAAAATTTGCCTATAGCTGTAGTAATCGATTATTTAAGAATTTCAAAATCATTGGTAATTATAAATAAGTATAATTTTAAGCAGAGATACCATTAATACTGATTGGCAATTGCTTGCAGCTATTTAATCCTGATTGAAGGTGTAATTTTAATTATTTATCATCATAATTACATGTAATTTCAAAAACAAGCAATCATAATTATAATTCTGATTATGGAAAAATTATTACTGTGTAATCAATAAAATTTCTACCACCTATGTTGTAAACTGAGCAGTGTTAGGTTTTTAACATGACACATCAAAAATTCATAAACTGTCAAAAACCTAGAGCAAGTTTCTTTTTTGTCATTGGGGATATTTTATAAGATATTAAATCATGCATAATCCTTACTTTATATGCTATTATAATTATGATTTATATTATATACCACACAAAAAACATTGCCAAAATTATTGAAATTCTTCTTCTTCTAAAAGCATGGTACTCTTAATAATTTAAGATCTATATTATTTGCTATATTATAATTATTATTTGGTTTATATCGGAGATAATAACCATGAGTTGTTAATGATTATCATTCTAAATATTGATATTTTCTTTTATGTTAAAATTTAGACAGATTTTTAATATTAAGTAAAATTAAAGTGGTTTCCAATAATTGCATGATCAGAACTTATTATTATACATTATTTTTTATTCTCAATATTTGATGTTATTAATTATATGCGGGGTAGCGCATGATATGTCTGATTGCATGAATGAGGTTTTTGGGGGAAATCTGACGGTCCTGTAAAAATTTTTGGTCTAAGAAAATTTCTAAAAAGTGTAGCTTTGTAAAATTTTTCCTTGTTACCAAATACATGTATCAATTTGTGCATTTATTAGTATGAATTCTATTAAGTTTATAAGTGGGGCCTAAAATTTAATTAAATTATTACTATTTCAATATATTTTGATGTATGCCTGTTTATTCAAGAACTGTATGAAGTCAAATGAATTTTTT